GCAGCAGTCGCTGCAGGCGGCGCTGGCGAAGGCACCGGAGTGGGTGCCTCGGTCCCAAAGACGCGAACGTGACCTGACCTTGACCCAGCACCGCCGTTCCAGGTCGCTCCAATGGCCACGCGGCTGCCGTCGCTGCTCAGCGACACCGACATGCCACTGTAATCGCCGCGGGCTTCGCCATCGATGTCCTGCCCCAACTGGCTCCATGTGTTGCCCGAAAGCCCGAAGACGCGAACGTGACCTGAATCTGACCCAGCACCGTTGTTGTTGCTCGCTCCAATGGCCACGCGGCTGCCGTCGCTGCTCAGCGACACCGACGTGCCACTGAAATCGTAAGAGGCTTCGCCATCGATGTCCTGCCCCAACTGGCTCCATGTGTTGCCCGAAAGCCCGAAGACGCGAACGTGACCTGAACTTGACCCAGCACCGTCGTTGTAGCTCGCTCCAATGGCCACGCGGCTGCCGTCGCTGCTCAGCGACACCGACTTGCCACTGATATCGCCGCGGGCTTCGCCATCGATGTCCTGCCCCAACTTGCTCCATGTGTTGCCCGAAAGCCCGAAGACGCGAACGTGACCTGAATCTGACCCAGCACCGTCGTTCCAGCTCGCTCCAATGGCCACGCGGCTGCCGTCGCTGCTCAGCGACACCGACGCGCCACTGTAATCGTAAGAGGCTTCGCCATCGATGTCCTGCCCCAACTGGCTCCATGTGTTGCCCGAAAGCCCGAAGACGCGAACGTGACCTGAATATGACCCAGCACCGTCGTTGTAGTTCGCTCCTATGGCCACGCGGCTGCCGTCGCTGCTCAGCGACACCGACCAGCCACTCTGATCGCCAGAGGCTTCGCCACCGATGTCCTGCCCCAACTGGCTCCATGTGTTGCCCGAAAGCCCGAAGACGCGAACGTGACCTGAATTTGCCCCAGCACCGTCGTTGTAGATCGCTCCAATGGCCACGCGGCTGCCGTCGCTGCTCAGCGACACCGACCTGCCACTCAGATCGCCTGGGGCTTCGCCATCGATGTCCTGCCCAAACTGGCTCCATGTGTTGCCCGAAAGCCCGAAGACGCGAACGTGACCTGAATGTCCGCCGTTGTAGATCGCTCCAATGGCCACGCGGCTGCCGTCGCTGCTCAGCGACACCGACCCGCCACTCCGATCGCCGGGGGCTTCGCCATCGATGTCCTGCCCCAACTGGCTCCAGGAGGCCCCATTCACCATGTGGTCAGCCGCCTCGACTTGGCGTTGTCCTTTCTGCTGGCTGGCGTTCACGTGGAGCACCATGGAGCTCACTGTAGGCACGCCCTTACGGGAACCGACGCGGGCGAGGTCGAAGCTCGTGGCGTCCGTGCCGAGCTGCAGGAGCACGGTGTGATCCTGCTGAAAGTTGACCTCCGACGCTGCGGTCGTGCCGCAGACGCCGTGGACGAGGAGAGGGATCAGCAAGAACACTCGGACAGGCGCCTTCTGGGCCATCGTGGCGTGCACGTCTAAAAGGCGAACTCGAGGAATAGGTGGTTCGGTCAGGCACGTACGTTGGCGTTTCTCGCTTGAGCCAGATGGCGCCAAAATGCTACGGACAGACACACACACACACACACACACACACACGCACACACACACACACACACGCACACACACACACACATACGCATATACCTACACAGACACGCACACACAACACACACACAACACACACAATGCTCGAAACCTCACCGTCATGTTGCAGGGGTTTTTGACCGGGAGTATGGGGCGGTCGACATATTGCCCAATGTGGTGCACCTGGTGCGCGTGGCGCACATGACACGTGCGGCGCACCTCGCGGGCATCGCGCACTGGCTGGCGTCTGGACTGGTTCCCGATAGTTGTCGATGGCGGCCCTGCCTGTGCTCAGACTCGGGTGCGACATATATGGTGGGAGGGCGGGTGGGAGTGAGCGACACGGCTTTCGGCTTGAAGTAGCTTGACTCCTCCCTACCCCGTACCCATGGATCTGGGGAGGAAGGGCGGCGGGTAGATAAACAGTCCAAGATGGCCCAGGGCTACAAGAGGGCCTCAGTCTAAGCTGTCCTCCAAGATGGTCCAAGATAGTGCAAGATCGCTCAAGATGGTTTCCAACATACTCCAAGAGGTACCAAGAGAGCTCCAGGACAGGTCCAAGCAGCCTCGGGGGCCCCCCAGACGCCCCCAATAAGGCAAAATCAATCCAGAACCCACGGAAATTCAATGGGTTTGGCCTTCACGCCGGTTCGCTTCCGACCGCCGTCCGAGGCCTCAAGATGGCCCCAAAGGGGCCCCAGAGAGACCCACGAAAGGCACAAGAGGGCTCAAAGAGCGCCCAGCATACGCCCCAAGAGCGCCCCAAGAGAGCCCCAAGAGGCGATGTTGGGGGCTCTAGAGGGGCAGCGCCAATTCAAGAACTCCCCTTCCTTGATCGATGTCCTCCAAGCATTGGTCCAGGTACAAGATCTCCGCTCGTGGTAGCCCAGCCAACCATCGGACTTCTGGTTGGCGCCAACTGCTGGGCGCCTGTGGACACCAAACCGCCGGGGCAGGGCGCTCCAGGATCGCGGGGACCTGAAGGGGAAGGCCGAGCAGGATCAGGTGAATGGCCGCGCGATACACCTGGTTACTGAGTGTCACCTGCTGCATCTCGCTCGCGGTGGCCTCCTGCATGCCCCATGGCAGTGCAATTGCGCGCAGAGGGCGCGGCGCTCGCCCCTCCAGCGCATGCCACCGCGATGAGCACCAGGTCTCGCAAGGCGGCCCTGCCACCGCAGCCAGCACTTTTCCACTTCTGATAGCCTGCGCCCAGTGCTGGACGGTCGAGGCGTTTGTCAGGCCCCCCCTGTCCTCGCATGTCTGCGCGTCAATCGGGAGAACGATGATGATGTGATCTCGCGCGAAACCCTTGAAGTCGTGCTGCAGGTCGCCTTCTCGCCATCTGCCTGAGAAAAGGTGCAGTATGTAAAGCGCACCCGTGACCAAAGGCCTGGCGGGCCTTGCAGGCGTCGTCCCGTCCGCTATTTCTTGTGCACCATGCGGCGGATCCAGCCGATCTCCGGCTGCGCCGGTGACGGTTCGGCCTGGACTGCCGCAGCATCCGCCAACCTCAAAGCAAGTACCTGGCATGCTGGCACGAGCGCCTTCTCTGCGCAGTGGCCGGCCGCTTTGCGCTGGGCGATCTCCGCGCGATCTGCATCCCTTCGGTCTTCTATCTCTTCGAGGCTCATCGGGGACTCAAGCATGCATAGGACCTTCAGGCATCTGGGCGCGCCACGCAAGCGCGTGAGGATCCTGAGCCTGGCGCGAAAGTTGAAACCACAGCCAGGGCAGGTTGTGCCTCTGATATGCCTCTCTGCATCGTCGTGTCCAACGTGCTCTACCGCATAGTGCCTGCGCCACGCCCCCTCGGTCTTCAGTGCCTTGCCGCACGCGTAGCATATATAGCCAACCGCAGAGGAGGCATGAGGCTGGCTGAAGGACGGCCGCGGGAGACTGAACTCGATGCTGAGATCCAGAAGCTGCCTCTGCCATTGTGCGTGCGAGTATCTGTCTTGCTGCCAAGCGCGATATCGCTGCCACACACGCCCCAGCGCCGCGCGCGACAGGTGCTGCCCCTGCTTCCTGACCCACTGGATGAAGTGCCTGAGGCCCCCCTGAGGTTTCTCGTCGTCAGGCATGTAGATGGCTATCCAGTCAATGTCGTCTAGGATCATGGCGTTCCAAGTGCCATTGGTGCCCCATAGCACGTCGGCCAATCGCTGGAGGAAGCGCGCGTCGGAGTGCAGCAAGCGCACCAGGTAGTGCAGCCTGCGCCTCTTGATGTGCATGGCGATAGGCACCTCCCTGCAGATGGCCAGGACCTCATCATCGGTTACGTGCTTGTCCGACTGGCCGTTGTGTTGGAGGTAAGTGGATGCTCGGAGCCCATGCATGAAGCACGCATTCAGCCGGCTGGCATGTAGCTTGGCGAGCGGCAACCATATCTCGCTGTCGTAGACCAGCTTGCTGACGCATAGTGCATTTCTGCAATGTAGCGCAGCCTGCAAATTGACCCCGGGCATCATGTAGATCACTTTCCTCAATGGCGCCTCCGCGGACCTGTGACCGATGATGCGTCTCATGAGGTTCGGTCCCTCCGACAAGTCCGTGGTGGCGACGTTGCCGAGGGTCACGCCTTGGGAGGCCACGACTAACCTGGCGCCGTTCTGCTCCAAAGTTACAGGGTTACTGGTGAAGATGCCAGCCTTGGTGGCACGCTTCGCCTTGCCCTCTATCGCCAGCACCGCCGTGGCCTTTAGCAGGTGCAGCTCATGTCCGAGGATGCTCAGGCGGTCTGAGATACACTTGACGATCTCGCACAGATGCTCCTTGATCCCGTAGTTGTCTCGCAAGACACACATGTACGAGGCATCGCCCATGAACGAGACCTCGGGCAAGTGGTCGTCCACGTCATCATCTCTGGGTCGCGCGAGGTGCGCATGGCCTCCCGCAGGCGCAAGCATATCGAGCAGGAAACCTCTATCCCCCAGGTCTGCTTGCAATGGCCCCAGCGCCTCTGCAAAGCTGATGTTCAAGAGGAGATCCGCCAGGCCATGTCCTGGCCTGTTGCCCTTGTGGATGCGCGCGCACTGCCGGCCCCCTCTCACTTGGAAGAATGCCACTCGATGCGCCTCTGCAAGTTGACGCCTCAGATTCTCATTCGTGCCATGGCGCATGAGATAACCCAGGTTATTCACCAGATATTCGATGGCGGGGTGCAGCCAGGCTGGCGGCTCCAGACCGCCCAGAACCTTCTGCAGCCCTGGCGTGTACCCACCCGAACCGAAGACAATTTCTTGTACCACTCTGTAGAAAGCCTGTCGTAAGTCCAGTAGGATGGTGACTGCTGAAAGGGAGCGCTGGCGGCACACCTGCAGGAACGCCTTCACCGTATGTGTAGAATATGCCCCCGAGCGTCCTGGGATACCGCCGCGTTGTGTTATGCGCAATAAGGCTGCACAGCTCTCCAAGGCATCTCAACCATGTTTGAACATGTTTCGCAATCGTATAGATCAGTCAAATGCTTCTGTAGAACTCCAGATAGGACATCGCACCCGCACCCTTGTAGAGACGAACTGCAAAGCCTGCTTTGAATTGGATTGGCTCTTGTCCGTGGAGCAAAACCTTGAGCAGCAGCGGGTGCCAATGGCGTGCGATCGCCGCGGCCCCTACCCGACTGACGTCATCGAGGTTCATGTCAGGGCCTCCCGCTCCCCCTGCTTTCGCGTCACGCAGGCTCTCTACTAAATCCGACTTGGTACATAGAATGCTCGGCTCTACCTCCTCCTCCCCCTCCTTCCCTCCCCCCCTCCCTCCCCCCCTCCCTCTCCCCCCCCCTCTCGACAGGAAACTCTGCGGGGGGTCACGGTGCTGCCAAGAGGTGGCCATGGCCCGAGGTACCGACAGGATTCCCCCGTGGGAGCCCCAACGACGCGCAGGTCGCCCCTCCTCGCGACCCCCTATCGGGGGCGCCCAAAGAGGGGAGCGCCCAAGCAGGGCTGTTCGCAAATCTAAAGGGCCCAGGGACACACACACACACACACACACATACACAAATCCCAAGACTCCCTATAGATTCCCGCATGTTCTGGGCGTTCGTTTTCCCCTTCTCCCCCTTCGCGTATTTTCTTATAGTTTCCTGGGGGTCGCCGGTTAATTGCATCTGCGTGTCTTTTCCCCTCCTGAAAATAATGGCCCGAGGCGCGTGCGCGGCCCAGGCGGGGACTTTCGGGTCGGAGCGGCGCGGGTCCACGATCCACGCCGCGGTCGACGGCAGGCGAGGGACACCACGGGACCCAACTGGGCACAACAGGCGAGGGAGGCGAGCCCAAGAGGGAGGGCAGGGAACGCACTGAAATGAGAAGAGGCGCCATGAGATCTGGGGAGTTGTCATGGCCATTGAAGAGGGAGCTTCGAGGGAGGGTTTGCTGCAACACTGTTTTCTCCTCCTTGGGAGCGCGGGCGAGCCTCCGCGCTCGAAACTCTCTGAGCCTGAACACCAGCGGAGCGGCAGCAGCTGGCGGGGCCCCCAGGGACCTCGGGTCTGAAGGAGGCCCCTGAAAGATCAAAGAATCTCTACACCCCCTCGCAAAGGACTGCTCTCTTCATCCTCAAAACGATGCGGTCGGTCCTTCTCCGACCTCATGCCGCTCGCGAAGACCCGCGAGCAGTCCTGGCAGCGGGCAAGCTCGCGCTGACCGCGAGCGCCCGCACGGGCGAAGGCCCAAGGCTCACTCACTCATGCTTCTTCGCGAAGCACACATCACACCTGCGGCGCGCCACCAGGCGCCGCTCCACGTAGAGAGCCCCCTCGAGAGCTCGGCATCGCCTGCTCTGGTGCACCACCCTGTCAGTCTCAGGCAGGTGGAATACCCAGCTCCCGTTGATCATCTTTGTCATGACCTCTGGGTCGCACTCTCCTCCTGATGAGGAGCTCGCCCTGGACGCCTGAGACGCAGGGGCAGTGCGCCCCCACCGTGCCCAGATTGCCGCCAGGAAGCCCAGCACAAAGATGAAAACCCAGCTGAGCAGCGGCATCACGGGCACAATCATGAAATCGCGGTTGTCGTCATCAGTGCCTCCAGCACCACCTCCATCTTGAACTCCTTCTCCTCGTTGAGCTTGCAGGGCCATACACAAGGCCAGGAACGCTGTGTTGAGGCTCGGGCTGCTCGCAATCCTCCCACCGCACTGCGTGCCACGAGCTGTCCGCCCCAGTTTCTCGATCACAGCGTTCACCTCGACCTCACGAACAGCTCCCAAATCTCCGTTGAGTCGGCGTAGTCCTACTTGCTTGCAGAGCTGCTCATGAACCTCGGACGTATGTGGCTTCGTCCCAATGTCACTGGGATTCTCGGTACCCTTGCACTTCAGCACCTTCAGCCCAAGCATGCGCGTGGCCTGCTGGACCCAGCGTGCTCGCGTGTCCAGGTGGCGGACCTCCCCGACGCCCTGCCTCAAGGACATCGCGCGAGCTGCTGAAGAGTCCGTCTCCAAGGTCCACTCAACACGAAGCCCGAACCATGTCAGCAGATCCCTGGGCATCTTGCCGCCCATGGCCACAGTGCTCAGCGCGTAGAACTCGCTCTCTCCAGAACTCACTGCAATCAAGTCCTGCCTCCTCACTAGCGTCGCCAACACCACACTATCGGCATACCGAACCCCACAGGTCGTGCTCTTGCGCTTCGCCTCCTTGCCTCCGTGGTCACTGTCGGAGAAACTCCTCAAGTGGACAACGACCTTCTTGTAGATCTTCATGTCAGCCTTCGGGGTGAATACGCCCAGGTCGGATGCCCCAACCAAGTAGCGTCCAAGACGGAGCAGCCTTTTCCAAGAGAGCCCCGTCGGCGCCGCCTGGTCAGATGCCAGCATCCCCACGGCCCTCTGGATGTCGGTGCGATCTTGCGCCAGGTAGAGGCCACTCCCCACACACGAACGATACCACGCGATCTGCGTGTCGACGAGTGGCGGGGAGTGCTCCAGGACCTCTTCCGATCCCAAGTCTGGAGTCTTGACTGGATTCGCGCCCTGCAGCCCTAGCTCCGTGATAATGTTGAGGGCGTGCTTCTCATGGGGCTGCACGAAGATGCCCTCGTCCGTCTTGATCCTCGCCCGCTTGAGGTACTCAAAGCGGCCCTCGGTGACGACGTCGCTGTCCTTCAACTTCAGTTTGGACCTGATCATCGGAAGGAAGCTCTCGACCTCGCTCTTGCGGCCCGTGCAGCAGAAGCCGCCCATGTGCAGCTACGGGCCCAGCCATGTCATCGGCTTGCGGTAGAACTGCGGGCAGGCCTCGTTGCGCTCGAAGCCGCACTCCAGGATGCGCTCAGCCGCGAAGCTGATCCACTCCCTGCTCGCAGCTCCCCTGCCAGGCAACTGCTTCTCGAGCTTCCAGAGTGCGTCCATGCTAAGGCCAGCCTTGGCCCTTGCAGCTAGCCACTCAGGTGGCGGGTCGCAGTAGAACTCCTCCTTCCCAGGAACCTGGCAGCACGCACCCGAGACGTCGCCAACCGCAACCACCAGTCGACCATCTGGATCATCATCGTCCTTCTGGCTGAGGAAGTCAATGGTGCGGCTGGTCAGGGACGTCGACCCAGGAGCGAAAAGATCATCACGCTCCTCGAGCCAGGCAAACTCCCTGCCCACCAGCCTGTACTTAAGAACCCCAGCTCGGTCCTTCTTCTCCCACTTGGCATCAACCTTCTTCTTGCCGTCGGAGGCCGCTCGAGGATGAACTGAGTAGATGCCGAACTCATCGCAGAGCTTTAAGCCCTTGTCGAGCGCCTCAGTCGCCTCCTCCTGGGGGAAGCCGCTGCTGCCCAAGTGCGTGAGCTCCTTGGCCGTCAGGAGGGCCGTGTAGTCCAGCGCCTCGCTGATGTCCTCGATGGCCCCGACGATCGGGTCCTCGTAGCGTCCCCTCTTGGCCTCGTGCCACCCCAGGACGGCATCGTTGTTCGGCGATCTCGCCCTGGTTGCCGTACCCGAGGAGCTCGCAGCAGCAGGCTTCGGGGCGTCTGGCTCACCACTGGCACCAGCCCCCTCGGGGCCTCTTGGTCCACTCCCCGAGCTTCCGCCAGCTCCTGCAGAGCTTTCCGCCTCTCCGCCAGGTCTCGGCGGGGCCTCTGGAGCCTGGGCCGCTGGGGCCTGAGGACGCGAGTCTGGTGGGCGCTCAGCTGGGGCCTGGGGATCGGGAGGGTTCGCCCCCGACTCAGGACCCTCGGGACCAGGGCGGGCTGAGCCCTCCTGGCCCTCTGCCCCAGACGGGGGAGCTCCTGGAGCTGCCCCCTCGGCTTCCGTGCCCACGGCCTCCAGCGTCGTCGGCGCGACCTCGCCCCCGCCGCCGTCCATGACGAGGGACCGAGGCATGTGCGCGACCTTCTCCCTCCAGGGCTCGCCGCAGACCTTCAGGAAGAGCTCCTTGTCGTGGCGCTCCCCCTCGGGCATCCTGCGGACGGTCCTGCAGGTCACCTTGCCAGCAATCGCCAGGATAATGTGCTCGTCGTTGTTGGTCGTCTTGCCGACCCAGATTCCCTTGACCCAGGCAGCATCCGCCTTGGTCAGCCTGGGAACCAAACCTCCCATCGAACGCCGCTGGCCCGTCTGGCTGACTGGAACCCTCGTCATCACCGTCTCAGCAAAGGGAACCACTGCTCCAGTGTAGCTCACGCCGTAGACCGCGAAGTGAGCCGCATAGCCGTCAGCACCTCGCGAGTACCAGTTCGTCACGTTTGCAGCATGGTGGGCGAGGAACGGCCAGAGCGAAGAGTGCGGCGTGAGCTTGATACCGCAGTCCATCTCCACCTGCACCCTATTGGCCTTCAAGCGGCCTCGCCACCAGCGGATCCGCGTCTCGATGAAGCCCATCGACTTGCTGTCCCGCGCGCGACCCTGCGAAACTCTGGTCTCCAGGTTATCCTCGTTCCTCGCGTTCACGACCTTCTCTCGGAGAGCCTTCACCGCAGGCTCCGTGTCGCACCTGAGCTCTGGCTTCTGGTACGCGAGCTGCTTCATGAACCTCATGAGCTGCTTCGCGGTGTGATCGTCTGCGGCCTTGCTCCCCAGCGCGTCGCCGTAGAGCAGACCAGTGCTGCGATCTGCAGCCACAAGAGATGTCCCGAGACCCTTGTCGGCCTCGTCGCAGAGATTGTCCGTGTCCCTAGTGTCGTTGAAGGCCCAGTCAAAGAAAATCAGCTCCTCTCTGACATTGCTGTCGTACACGGGCTGCTTGACTTGCGGGCCCTCAGGTCCCAGTCCGAACACACGCGCAGGGCACCACTTCTTGAACACCGCGTGACCAGCAACCTCGTGTTGCTCATTCTCAACCTCCGTTGGAGCATAGGGAGCCTCGACGACCTTGGCCTCTGTCACAGGCTGGCCGTCCACTTGCGGTTGGTAACGCTCCTCGACCGCCTTCTCGAAGTCCAAGTCCTGCTTGTGCTTGAGCTCGGCATGCTGAGCCTCGTCCACAGCTGCACCTTCGTGCCGTAGATCGCGGCCCCGAGCTCCTTCAAGCGCTGTCGGAGCAGGTCGACTCGAGAACCTGGCCCGAGCTCTGCTCCCTCAGGGTCCCTCACAGGGCGGGGGGCCGCCCCTGGCCCTGGCTGGCCCCCAGGCGGACTGGCTGCCGCCGGCGGGGCTGAAGCGGGGGCGCCACCTCCAGACCCCGACGAAGCCGACCCAGCACCCTCTGCCATGGGCGCAGGCGCTGCAGCTTCATCAGCCTGGGCGGCCCCCTCGCCCTTCATCACCGCGTCCTCGTTGGCGGCGACGATGCCCGACTGCTGGTCGGGATAGCGGCCTAGCAACCGCTTGGTCTCCTTGACCGCATCCTTGGCGTCCTCGAGGTCCTCGTGCACGCTGGCAGGGACCCCGAACGTGTTCTTTCTCCGCACCATCAGAATATTGACACACCTCCCGTCAGGCTTGGAGTAACCAACGTAGCACCCGTCATTGCGCGAGTAGACCACGTCAAAACCTGCATCATAGACTCTGAGAGTGCTGAGTAGGTTCCGAGCGAAAGGGGCGACCTTGAAGTTGGCCTTGCAAACCACTCGACCCCCCATGGTGAAGGGAACCATGGCCTCACCATCAAGAGAGATATTCTGCTTCTGGGCGGCGATCAGCTTGGTCGACGCAGGCTCCACTACGCGATGTCTCGCAAAGCCTCGTCGTGCACAGTGCTCGTCAGCGCCGCCATCCAGCATCAGAAAGTCGTCAACGTCGTACTCCTTGAGCTTGGCCCCGTCGCCGATAGCCATGATGATCGTGTCGTCACAGGCGTGGCACGCGAACTCGTCCTCCAGCTGGTCTCCGACGCTCTCGTAGCCGTCGTAGCCCACCTGGTGCCCGTTCGACTCGTGGTCGACGTAGTCCACCTGGTGCCCGTCTGAGTCGTGGTCGACGATGTCCACCTGGTGCTCGTCCGAGTCGTGGTCGACGTAGTCGCTCTCCAGCGCCATGCAGAAGCCGCACTCGTCAGAGTCGACTTCGCTGGGTACGACCATCACGTTGACCTCGGCGGCCTCCTTCTCGACGATGCTGACAGTGCCCTTCTTCCTGTCCTCCTGATCCTTCTTGAACTTGAAGCAGTTGATCTTGATGTGGCCTTTCTTCTTGCAGTAGTGGCATGTCTTGTCTTTGTCACTCGACGGCGCGTTGCCACCGCGTCCGCCATTCGATCCGCCCTTGCCGCCATCGCCCTTGCCACCCTTGGAGTCGCCCTTGGCGCCACCTTTGCCCTTGAACCAGCACTTGTCGGCCGTGTGGCCGAGCTTCTTGCAGAGGTTGCAGCGCGGCTTGTCGAACCCAATCGCGTCAACCTGGCCGACCGCATCCACCTGTATCGGCGCCTGGCCTCCTCCTCCCACCTCAGGTGGCCTGGGGGCGAAAGCCTTGGCATTTCTCTCCACGCAGTGCTCGCGAATCCTTGTCCGCATCACCGCGCAGTTCTCTCTGACCTCCTGGCTGGCCCCGTCGAGCACCTTCCTGATCGGCAGCGGCGCATAGCCCAAGATGGTCGCACACTTGAGCCTGTCGCTGATCGTGTCGTGGCTCGCCAACTCATACTGCGTGACGAGATGATCCCAGTCGTGCAGCACCTCCGCGAAGCTTCTCCTCGAGTGATCAGCACTCGTCCACCACTTCGGCTGCACGATCGTCGTCAGCAGGCTGTGCTCCGAAGTGCCGCCACTCGGGCGGTAGTCAGCATAGATCTGCCGAAGAGCCTCGAACCCATTGCCAGCACCAGCCAACTTAGTCATCGTCTGCGCTTTCCCGCGCATCTTCATCGCCAGGAACGTGCTCAAGTTCCTGCTCAGCTCCAGCGTCTCCGCGTTCTGGATGCCCTCTGCAGCTATCGGGCCCGCGTGGCCCACCGCAGCGTCATAGAGCGACTTCCACCCCATCTCAGCCACCTCTGCCTCCAAGGTGAAAAAAACTCTCGAACTCATCCTGGCCGCCATTGAAGCTCTCATGGCTTCTGATGTCCTTCAGCGACCAGATCTGGTACGTCCCGTTTTGCGTAGTCGTACTCGCCATCGCGAGACCCGTCCTGGCGGAGCTGTCCGCCTTCAGGCCTTCGTCGTGGTCGATCACCACCGCGGGCCCAGTCCGCGGCCGACGCCCTGCTGCCACAGCAGAGCCAAGCCGTGGACCGCTCCCGTGGAGCAGCTCACGGTTCCGCTACCATGTTTTCTCCTCCTCGGGAGCGCGTGCGAGCCTCCGCGCTCGAAGCTCTCTGAGCCTGAACACCAGCGGAGCGGCAGCAGCTGGTGGGGCTCCCAGGGACCTCGGGTGTGAAGGAGGCCCCTGAAATATCAAAGAATCTCTACAAACATATTTAATGAGTTTCTGGTTTTCAATGGTCCTCCTCCTCCTCCTGATCCTCCTCCTCCTCCTCACCCTCCTCCTCCTCCTCCTCCTCCTCCTCCTCCTCCTCCTGCTCCTCCTCCTCCTCCTCCTCCTCCTCCTCCTCTCCTCCTCCTCCTCATCATCATCATCATCATCATCATCATCATCATCATCATCATCATCATCATCATCATCATCATCATCATCATCATCATCATCATCATCAGCATCAGCATCATCATCATCATCATCATCTCATCATCATCAGCAGCAGCAGCAGCATCATCATCATCATCATCATCATCATCATCATCATCATCATCATCATCATCATCATCATCATCATCATCATCATCATCATCATCATCAGCATCATCATCATCATAATCAGCATCATCATCATCAGCATCATCATCATCATCATCATCATCATCATCATCATCATCATCATCATCATAATCTGAATCATCATCATGAGATCTGGGGAGATGTCATGGCCCTGGCCATGAGATCCTCCCCCCGCAGTCGCCCCCCCCCTCTGGCCGCACCCGACCCCCAAGAGGGCCCCGGGGGGGCCTCCAGAAGGACGCGACAAGCTGCCTTGGGCCAGGAGCACCTTTGGCAACCGGAGGAGGATCGAGGATCGAGGATCGAGGATGGAGCAAGGGGAAGACGATCGAGCACCGAAGAATCTCTGAGAACCAGCGAATATGGGGAACATATCTGTTGCCGCGTGCGTTCCAGAGCGTTCCGGGACACTCCGAGAGGTGTTCGGTTCGAACGCTCTGGAACGACTTCTCTTCTCCTGGGCATGCCTGATTGCGCGTGTTCGCCCGAGTTGGGGCCTCCGGAGGCCTCTGGAAACCTCTGGGGGTCTCGGAGAGACCTCCAGCGACCCCTCGGAGCTCAGGGGTCCTGCGAGGCAGGGTGGAGAGGATGACAGGGAGGAGGGAGAGATGGAGGGGCTGGGAAAGGACTTGTTGCTGTTTGCCCGTTCTGGTGCTGGGGCGCCTTCGTCGCCGCGGTTGGATTCGCCTCGAGATCTTTGTTCGGACCGCAATCCATAAAGGGCCCAGGGGAAGGGGGAGCTGAAAGCGGGCAGCGGTGATGGAGGACGGGGATTCGGATAGGGATGGGCATGAGCAAGGGCATGGGCAATGGCATGGCAATGGGCATGGCGGCATGAAAGCAAGGCGACGAGAAGGAGGAGAGGGGGAGTGGCCGAAGGGGGGAAGTGTGGGGAGAGGCTTCAGGGAATGAGGGGGGGCCAGAAAGGGAGGCAGGTGGGCTTTGGATGAATATCATACAGCTGCAAAATTACATACAAAGGCCGCGCGTGCCGAACCTTCAAAAGCTCTGTCTCAGCCCTCGTGAGCCCAACATCCGCCGCTCCTCAGAACCGATGTGGCTGCCGGGCCCGCTCGACGAGCGGACACACCCCTCCACCAGCCCCACGAGCGACGCCTCAGCGACGTGTCACGTCCGATGGCGGTCGATGGCGCCGAGCACGGTTGCGCCACCAGTGACGGTCACCGGCGCGACGAGGCAGTCCCTATTGAGTCCCTCATACATGCTCATTGTGCAGCGACTGCGCTCATGCAATGAAGCTCGGCATAGGACTGCGGTGGGTCTGCGTCAGGCGCGCTGCTGAGCGCGACAATGTGCACTGCAGCGGCCCTTTCGTAAGCCGCAAGCCACACCCGCCAGCGAATCAGCCCCGTGAGCGCGACCGCTTCATCCTGCGTTTCGACCATGGCTGTGTGGGCAGCTGCGGTTTCCTGCTCCAGCTGCTTCTTCGCCGATGTCCATATGATGCCGAACGTCCGCTCGAACTGAGACCCGCTGAACCTTCACCGCCTCCCGCAGGCGTCCATCAACCAGCTGATCGTGTCGGCAGCGGGTGCGGCAATTTCGGCACCTCGGCACACGTTTTCTGCAGCAGCATGGAAGCCTTCAGAAGACATCGAGCCTGCTGCCGCGTCGGAGTTGTCGGCCGCTTCGGCGGCGCGCAGATTTCAGCTGAAAATGGCGTTGACCACCGCGAGGCGCGTGTGTGTCACTCGCCAGTTCGGGGAACCCGCGCGAATATGCGATTTGTTGCCCTCGCCCATATTCCGCACGCATTTGGCTCGAAAATAGCGTTCCAGCGCAGTCGCGGCGGCAAATGGCTCCTTCGCCGAAGCGCACGAAAGCGATAGCGGCAGCGGGGCCGCGCGGAAGCGGGCGAAATGCCGACCTCGCCAAAGCGCCGCGACGCTTGTGAGTGAAACCGGCACTGCTGTGTCAGCGCGTTGCATGCTCCGTCGTCGCCGCGGCCATCGGAAGTTCTGCCGCCCCCGACCCTGCGCGGCCCGAGCAGTTTTCTCATCGCCAAGTCGTCGGAGGCGGGGCCGCGCGCAAGCGCCTTCTGTTTGCGAGGTGGGGGCCCAATCCCAAATATCAAGTTGTGCACCACTTGATTTGTCTAGGGGCACGAAGAATGGCACAAACAGAAAGGCTCGGAGGTCCACGCGGCTTTCTCGGATCGGCGCTGGACCCCCCCTGGCACGCGGAGCGCGCCAGGGGCGGCGCCGGAGGCGTCGCCAGGGGGGTCCAGCACGGATCCGAGAAATCCGCGCGGACCTCCGAGTTTGTACGTTTACGTCATTCTTCGTTCCCCTATTGTTGTGGGAGGGAGGGTGGGAGTAGGCGGGGCCATCTGACTGTCTCGACCTGGCTAACTTGACGCCTACTCCGGCTCGTCCTCCACGGCCCCCCCCGCGCTCGCGCTCCCGCGCACGCGGGAACGCGCGGGATCGGAGGAGGCCGCCCTTCGTTCCTGCTGGCCACGACGACGACGACGACGACGACGACGACGACGACGACGACGACGACGATGGCGGCGGCGGCGGCGGCGCATGGGCGCGGGGTGTTCTGGTCCTCCTCGTCGTAGTCCCCATCGAGCCGGCGGGTCGGCAGGGGCCCAGTGGCGCGGGTGAGTCGGGCCGCCTTCTTGTTGTCGCCTGCAGCGCCCAGGGGGGGCGCGGGCTGGCCCAAAGCGACCCGTGAGGCCCCCCGTCCATCCTGTGGCCCATCGGTGCTCTCTGACGGCCCCTGGGGGCCTCGAAAGCGGCCCCCAGACGGCGGCAAAGAACAGGAAGCTCGATCCCCGAGATATTCCTCCGCAAACGTCCACCCCTCCTAGGAGGCAAGGCCGATCGAACGTCGACAGGCCGCAGGCAGCGTGAAAGGACACGGCGGCGCAGCAACTAGGTCAGCTGTCTTCGCGCTTCGCGCCACGCGAAGCACGGCCATCTCGAGACCCTCACGCCGCACCCCTGGAGAAGAACACTCTCGTTGCCCAGGCCTCGAAGCGTGAAGCGAGATGTTTGTTCGCGCCACTGCTATTGACCAAATCAAAGTGTTCTGGTCCGCGGCTGCGGTTGATGACCCGCTCGTAACTTATATGTCAGCGCGCTGACGCATACTGTGATGACGTCCTGCCTCAAGTGCTGGAAAGAGTACCGATAGTTGAGCAGTTTGCGTGGGGGGTGGCGGGTTGAATCGCGTGGGGGTGGCATGGGACTGTCTGTCGTGGGGCGTGGCGGGTTGGATCGCGTGGGAGTTGCCTTCGGAGCGCCCAGGGGTACTGGAACGAGCCGTCAGGCGGGACGACACGGTTTGTGAACAACGAGGGGGCATTCGCACTCAATCAAAGCAACCCAGGACGGTGAATGCTTGGTCGGTGTGAGTCCTCACCGCCAATCACTAGGAGACGAAGCGTACTACTGCTGCTTCCACTGTGGGACTTGCCCTCCCTGGCACGACTGGTCAATACTAGCGCCAAAAAAGGTTGGATCATTTGATGTCGTTGCTGGCAGCGAGCTGGAAGAGTAGCGGCACGGAAGACTACCCGTAATCAATGTGTGCCCTGAGGGACTGGGATCAATGTGGTAGGTGTACGCAGCGTCGAGGGCGTCAGGTGAGCGCAAGTGCGGAGCTGGCGTGCACGCGTTGACTAGCGTGCTGGAAGGCCGCCTAGCATTCTCCCTTTCGCCTCCCCAGAAGTCCTTGAGGCCTCCAGTGACCACTGGAGGCGCACAACAAAACAGCCACAAGGGGTCAACAACGCCCAAAAGTTAAGACAGATCGTGATTAACTGCCAGCGTATGATTCATGTATACCCAAGTGCTGGACACCCACCCCCTTCGTCTATGAGCTTACCCCCTTTGAAGGGCACCTTTTGTTATGCCAGCTACCAAATCAGTCCCGACAAAGTAAGAGAGTCCAAGCGGGCGGGCGGGATCGAAGGGGTGGGTCGGGCGGGCGGACCCTAACGGGCGGGTCGGTCGGGCGGGCCCTTCTGGGCGGGCCAGGCGGGCGGGACATTACGGCGGGCAGGTGGGCCCCCATAGAAGCGAGCGAGTGGACCCCTACTGGCGGAGCGGGCGGATGGGATATCAAAAGGCTGGGCTAAGCAGGCGGACATCACGGGCGGGGCAGGCGGGCGGGACATTAAAACGGGCGGGCGGGACTCCAAGCAAACGAATGGCCCGACCCAGTGGACGGAGCGGACGTCGGGCGGGCAAACCAAAACGGGCAGGTCGGGCAGGCGGATGGATCTGGCGGGCGGATCGGGCGGGCGGGAGGGACATTCTTGCGCAAGCTGTGAGTAGAGCGCGAAAACTTCCCAGGCGAGAGTGCGAGTCCTAGATAAAGCGGGATGAAAGCATGGGCGGAAGTGAAATTCCTGATTGACGAGAGCACACTTCTTAAATGATGTGTGGGGAGTCCCAGGCGAGAGCGCGATTCCTGCGCGACGAGAGCGCTAATCGTAAATGCGAGAGCGCGATCCTGGGGTAAGTTGCAAGGACGTCTCGAACAAGAGCGTGATTGCTGAGTAAAATGTGAGAAATAACTATCAAGCGAAAGCCGTTGTTGCTGTAGCCCGGGTTAACAATCGATTCTAGTTCGCGCGCGCGGGGCGGCTTCTGGGGGCTCCCGGACCAAAAGCACCCCGAGCAGGTCCCGGCCAGTGCGGCTCAGAGATGGTTTTCCTCTTCGGCGGTGCCTTCCAGGCCTCCAAGAGCGCTCCAGGAACGCGCCAAGAAGGCTCGGAGACGCCCCCGAGACGGTCCGAGGGGCCCCGAGTCGCCGAAAGACTGCTCCAAGACGCCCATGCTGCGCTCCAGACGGCCCTAGACGCCGCCGAGAAGCTCCAACAGAGCCTCAAGAGGCCCTCCCAGAGGGCCCCAACAAGCAAACATCGTCCCATTTCCCCGGAAAAAAAACGTACAGTTCTGGCATAGACGACGCTCGGAGGTTCACAGCGTCCAAGACTGCCCAAGAGCACCCCAAGATCGGCCCAAGATGGCCCAGCATGCCCCCAAGATGCGCCCAAGAGGGCTCCAAGAGGGCTCCAAGACGACCCAAGAGGGCTGCCTTCCAGGCCTTCCAGAGAGCTTCAGGAACGCGGCAAGAAGGCTCGGAGACGCCCCCGAGGCGGTCCAAGGTGGCCCTCCCAGAGGGCCCCAACAAGCAAACATCGTCCCACTTCCTCCGGAAAACGTGCATGTCTGGCATAGACGACGCTCGGAGGTTCACAGCGTCCAAGACTGCCCAAGAGCACCCCAAGATCGGCCCAAGATGGCCCAGCATGCCCCCAAGATGCGCCCAAGAGGGCCCAAGAGGGCTCCAAGACGACCCAAGAGGACTGCCTTCCAGGCCTTCTCTAAGCGTTTCCCAAGACGCGTGCTCGGAAGCTCTCCGGCAGGTTCTTCGGAAGCTCTCCCCAGGTCCTTCCAGAGTTCTTCGACAGGCCTTTCAACGCCCTTCGGGCGCCTTGCTATCCGGGTTTTGGACCCCACAAGTTTCCCCTTGGGATGGGGTCGCGAGGTCCAGAGGGCCTCGTCGCAGGCCTGCAGAGGCTAGGGGAGGAGGAGACAAGATGAGAGGCCCGCACAAGAGGGGACAGGGAGGGAACCGCGCACTAGCATGGGAGGGAGCGGCACGGGGGGGTCCTCCCTCCCTCCCCACTCCCCCCTCATTCTCGTCCTCCCCTCCCCTTCTCCTTCCCCCTCCCTCCTCCCTCCGCCCTCCCCCCATCCCTCCATCCGTAGCCACTTTGGTTCAAGCCATGTTGGCTCTCTTCGCAGCCATCATGCCCCCTTGCGGCACACTTTGACTACTCGGCGTGAGCCCATGCGCGCCGCGCCCTCGGGCGCGGCGCCCACTCGCATGCGCGGCTGCGTCGCCAGCTACGTTCAGGCGCGTCCCCGTGCACCTGGATCCACCTCGCTGGACTGCTCCAAGGCGCCTGGCAGCTTCACGGGGCTGCCGATCCCCTTCGATGACTATCACTGCCGCTACGGCAGTAAGGCGCTAGCGCAGACGACGGCGTCCAAACTCAGCCATACGGCGGAGTGCTACGAAGTGCATAACATCTTCACGGGGCTGACGTTCGCCAGCGAGGATTACCCCTTCCATCGGAGATCTTCAGACCTGGGTCAATCCAGACCCGGGTCAGTCAGCCCTTGCAGAATCCTGCAAGATCCTGCAAGATCCTGCACCCAAACCCGGGTGCAATGCGAAGGATCCTGCAAAATCCTGGAGGATCCTGCATCCAAACCCGGGTCAACGCGACCCTGCCCCTGCAGGATCCTGCAAGATCCGGCGCTCTGGCTGACCCCCGTTTGCATCGACCCCCGTCTCAAGGCTCCCGATTTCAGCGAGTCCCGGGCGCAGGCGACAGCTTCAAAGCTCAGACATACAGCGGAATGCTAAGCAATGCAGGGAGGGACTGACACTTGCCTTCGAGGACTACACTTTCCGCTACTGCAGCGCGTAACGGTCGCAGGCGACGGAATGCAAGCTCAGACATACGGCGGAATGCTACGAGGGGCATGGCATCTCCACGGGGCTGCCGCTCACCTACGAGGACTACCCCTTCTGCTACGGCAGTGCGGCCATTGCGCGGGCAGCTGTTTCCGAGCTCAACCACACGGCGGAATGATACGAGATGCCAGGCATCTCCACAGGGCTGCCGTTCGCCGAGGACTGCCCCCTCCGCTACTGCAGCGTGTCCCTGGCGCAGGCGGCGGCTTCCGAGCTGAGCCACGCGGTTGAGTGCTGCGAGGGGCCAGGTCCACGGGGTTGCCCTTCGCCCACGAGGTCATGGGCTGCTCCGTCGTCTATCCACAAATTATCGGTGTTCCACCTCGGTGCATTGTTCCAAAATGCTGGGCATCTTCACGGGGCTGCCGTTTGCCTTCGTGGACTACCACCTCCACTACGGCAGCGCGTCCCTTGCGCAGGTGACGGCGTCCAAGCCCAGCCATACGGCGGAGTGTTACGAGCAAAGCATCTTCATGGGGCTGGTGTGAAGACTACCCCTACCGCTACGGCAGCCCGGCCCTTGCGTAGGCAACGGCTTCCAACCTCAGCCACACGGTGGGTGGCTACGAGGTGCTGGGCATCTCCACGGTGCTGCCGGTCGCCTGCGAGGACAGCCTCTTCCGCTACTGCAGCGCGTCCCTGGCGCAGGCGGCCGCGTCCCAGCTCAGCTACTCGGCGGAGCGCGGGGCACCTAAGAGGACCACCCGTTCCGCCACGGCAGCGCGTCCCTAACGCAGGCAACGGCTTTCAAAAACAGCCATACGGCGGAGTGATACGTGGTGCTGGGCATCTTCATGGGGCTGCCGTTGGCCTATGCGGACTACTCTTTGAGCTACGGCACGCTCTGCCCCGCTAGCGCGCCCCTTGTGCAGCGGTCTAGTCTCTCGTTCCCCCCGCCTCTGGCGGTTAGCATTCAATTCGGTTGTTCCCCGCCACAGTATCTGGCATCTCTGTGAGATGTGTTGCTCCATCTCTGGGATTCAGTTTCTGCCTCGGTGAAGCTTCTCGCAGTTCGTTGGTAGAGGTCATAGACCTCCGATGTGCCTCCTATCACTGTTCAGTGCTGCTTTCCTCTTTGTGTCACTTGTCGGGCGGCCTCAGTCGGAGTCAGTGTCAATACCTCGTTGCGTGAAGCTGTCTTGGTGCAGCTGTGATGGACGGCATTGACCGCAACGCTCTCTTGTTCGGTGCTGATGGCACTGCAAGTCTTGCCGCTTATTCGCACGCTCCCTACAGGCTGACGATGAGCCTTTCATCGAGATCCAGACATCCAGATCCAGTCCCAACCCTCCTCCCCTCGTGTGTTCCCTGCGTCCCTCCCTCTCCCCCCCTCCCTCCAGTCGTCCCTGCCACTCCTCACATTGCCGTCGCTCGGACGCCCATTCCCCGTTCACTGGTCGGTCTCGTGCGTATTTCCCAACATGTTTCGTGGGGTTATGGTTTTCTTCCCTGCCGCGGCGCACCCGCGTCTCCTCCTCCCCTCTCTCTCCTTCTTACACAGCGCAGCACAGCACAGCACAGCACAGCACAGCACAGCACAGCACAGCACATGCACAGCAGCGTAGGGGGTGCGCAGGGGCTGGTCTCTCACCGCGGCCGCTGTCCGTGACGGTCGTCCAGGGCACAGCAGGCATGGCATATTCTCGACACCATAGGGGGTGCGCAAGGGGTGGTCTCTCACCGCGGCCGCTATCCGTGACGGTCGTCCAGGGCACAGCAGGCATGGCATATTCTCGACACCATAGGGGGTGCGCAGGGGGTGGTCTCCCACCGCGGCCGCTATCCGTGACGGTCGCCCAGGCACAGCAGGCATGGCATATATAGGGGGTGCGCAGGGGGTGGTCTCTCACCGCGGCCGCTATCCGTGACGGTCGTCCAGGGCACAGCAGGCATGGCATATTCTCGACAGCGTAGGGGGTGCGCAAGGGGTGGTCTCTCACCGCGGCCGCTATCCGTGACGGTCGTCCAGGGCACAGCAGGCATGGCATATTCTCGACACCATAGGGGGTGCGCAGGGGGTGGTCTCTCACCGCGGCCGCTATCCGTGACAGTCGTCCAGGGCACAGCAGGCATGGCATATTCTCGACAGCGTAGGGGGTGCGCAAGGGGTGGTCTCTCACCGCGGCCGCTATCCGTGACGGTCGTCCAGGGCACAGCAGGCATGGCATATTCTCGACACCATAGGGGGTGCGCAGGGGGTGGTCTCTCACCGCGGCCGCTATCCGTGACGGTCGTCCAGGCACAGCAGGCATGGCATATTCTCGACACCATAGGGGGTGCGCAGGGGGTGGTCTCTCACCGCGGCCGCTATCCGTGACGGTCGTCCAGGGCACAGCAGGCATGGCATATTCTCGACACCATAGGGGGTGCGCAGGGGGTGGTCTCTCACCGCGGCCGCTATCCGTGACGGTCGTCCAGGGCACAGCAGGCATGGCATATTCTCGACCCGTAGGGGGTGCGCAAGGGGTGGTTTCTTACCGCGGCCGCTATCCGTGACGGTCGTCCAGGGCACAGCAGGCATGGCTACGCAGGGGGTGGTCTCTCACCGCGGCCGCTATCCGTGACAGTCGTCCAGGGCACAGCAGGCATGGCATATTCTCGACAGCGTAGGGGGTGCGCAAGGGGTGGTCTCTTACCGCGGCCGCTATCCGTGACGGTCGTCCAGGGCACAGCAGGCATGGCATATTCTCGACACCATAGGGGGTGCGCAGGGGGTGGTCTCTCACCGCGGCCGCTATCCGTGACGGTCGTCCAGGGCACAGCAGGCATGGCATATTCTCGACACCATAGGGGGTGCGCAGGGGTGGTCTCTCACCGCGGCCGCTATCCGTGACGGTCGTCCAGGGCACAGCAGGCATGGCATATTCTCGACACCATAAGGGGGTGCGCAGGGGGTGGTCTCTCACCGCGGCCGGTGGTCTCTCACCGCGGCCGCTATCCGTGACGGTCGTCCAGGGCACAGCAGGCATGGCATATTCTCGACACCATAGGGGGTGCGCAGGGGTGGTCTCTCACCGCGGCCGCTATCCGTGACGGTCGTCCAGGGCACAGGCATGGCATTTCTCGACACCATAGGGGTGCGCAGGGGTGGTCTCTCACCGCGGCCGCTATCCGTGACAGTCGTCCAGGGCACAGCAGGCAATCCGTGACGGTCGTCTAGGGCACAGCAGGCATGGGCAGCATTCTCGAGCACCTCGACACCATAGGGGGTGCGCAGGGGTGGTCTCTCACCGCGGCCGCTATCCGTGACGGTCGTCCAGGGCACAGCAGGCATGGCATATTCTCGACACCATAGGGGGTGCGCAGGGGGTGGTCTCTCACCGCGGCCGCTATCCGTGACGGTCGTCCAGGGCACAGCAGGCATGGCATATTCTCGACACCATAGGGGGTGCGCAGGGGGTGGTCTCTCACCGCGGCCGCTATCCGTGACGGTCGTCCAGGGCACAGCAGGCATGGCATATTCTCGACACCATAGGGGGTGCGCAGGGGGTGGTCTCTCACCGCGGCCGCTATCCGTGACAGTCGTCCAGGGCACAGCAGGCATGGCATATTCTCGACAGCGTAGGGGGGGCGCAAGGGGTGGTCTCTCACCGCGGCCGCTATCCGTGACGGTCGTCCAGGGGACAGCAGGCATGGCATATTCTCGACACCACAAGGGGTGCGCAGGGGGTGGTCTCTCACCGCGGCCGCTATCCGTGACGGTCGTCCAGGGCACAGCAGGCATGACATATTCTCGACACCACAAGGGGGTGCGCAGGGGGTGGTCTCTCACCGCGGCCGCTATCCATGACGGTCGTCCAGGGCACAGCGGTATCGGCGGGGCAACGGCCACCAACATCATTCTCACATGCTTCACTTCAGCTCTCATCTCTCCAGCCATCATATAAGTATGTGGGGTTCCTCGGTAGCGTAATTTTTCATTCGCAGGATGATCCAGGAGGCTCCTCAGTGGCCCTCTCCGACAGAAAATGCACACGTCCGAGCGATGCCAAGTCATCCCTTCCTCGCCCCTCAGCGATCCCATGAGTAGGTTTGGGGGGTCAAGTCTGCAGAACACCCCAAACGGACGTGAAGAGGCACAACCAACCGGTTCAGTCACCCGGCGTCAAGCCAAAACCTTGGACATGAGCGAACGGTTGAATGTTGCACATCTTCGTCGGCTTCACCGGCGAGGCGTTGGACCACCTTGACGTCCCTGTTTGGGTGGTCCTGCAGAGGAAGGCGCCCTTTGACCCTCGGCCCTACTCAAGCGCTCCCCGACGGCCCCCTCTTCCCCCCACTTCCATTGCACGGGGACGGAAAGCCGCAGGCCAGGCGGGGGGGAATGGGGGGGCGGCGCCAGCGGGGGGGGGGGCAGCCTCGGCGCACGCACAGGGCGTACACAAAGACCTCGTCGGGCACACGTGAAGAGGAGCAGACGTGAAGAGGAGGAGAGAGGAGAAGAAGAGGGAGGAGGATGAGGCGAAGGGATACGAAGAGGAAAAAGAAGAAAAAGAAGAAGAATAATCTGAAAACCAAACACAAAGAGAAGAAGGAGAAGAAGGAACATTGGGGAGCGAGACTTTGCTGAGTTTGTCTGTCTTGTAATCTTCTCCGGAGGCCTGAGGATGCCTCCAGTGGCACCCGGACCTCCAGGGTCACGAACGAATCGCGACGGCCTTGTTCCCAGTCCTTGGCCTCCAGACACATCTCGGGCCTTGGGGCAATCAAGGGACGGTCTGAAACGAAAAGTCAATCCCTGGGATGGGTTCCAGGGTCCCACGGGGCCCATATCTTGAAATTACCCTGGCAAAGGACACAACCACCCTAGGCAGCCGCGGGAAGCACAGGATATGTCCCTTACCTTCCCTCCTAGTTCTCATCCTAATGGTCGTTTTCCTTCTGATGATCATCACCCTCATTCCCTCCTCCCTCCTGCCTCATCCCTCCTCCTTCCTCCCTCCTCCCTCATCCCTCCTCCCTCCTCCCTCCTGCCTCCTCCCTCCTGCCTCCTCCCTCCGCCCTCCTCCCTCCTCTCTCCCTCACTCCTCCCTGCTCCCCCCTCCCCTCTCCCCCCTCCCCCCTCCCTCCTACCTCTTACCTCCTACCTCCTCCTCCTCCTCCTCCTCCTCCTCCTCCTCCTCCTCCTCCTCCTCCTCCTCCTCCTCCTCCTTCTCTACCTCCTCCTCCTCCTCCTGCTCCTCCTCCTCCTCTGCTCCTCCTCCTCCTCCTCCTCCTCCTCCTCCTCCTCCTCTGCCTCCTGCTCCTCCTCCACGTCCTACTCCTCACACGCCTAAACGTCTCCGAGTTCTCCTAACCCTGATGCTCCTCGTCATATTCCTTGCCATCCTTCTCATCCTCATCCACCAAATCTTACATTTCACTCTCCACCAACCCGAAAGCTCACGGCCGCCTCCTCCGCCTCCTCCTCCTCCTCTCCTCCTCCTCCTCCTCCTCCTCCTCCTCCTCCTCCTCCTCCTCCTCATCATCATCATCATCATCATCATCATCATCATCATCATCATCATCATCATCATCATCATCATCATCATCATCATCATCATCATCATCATCATCATCATCATCATCATCGTCGTCATCGTCATCATCATCATCATCATCATCATCATCATCATCATCATCATCATCATCATCAGCATCATCATCATCATCATCATCATCATCATCATCATCATCATCATCATCATCATCCCACTTCTCTCAGCATCATCGCACTCCTCCTGGTCCACTTA